TTTATGGGACACTGAAGTTGGGAGGCATGTGCAGAGTATAGGTATGTGTCACAAAGCTCCTCAGCAATACAACGAACAGCAATGTACAGTGTTAAAGCATGCCACAGAGCTCCAAAGCTCCACAGCAATAAAACTCAGTTATGTGCAGAGTGCATGAGCTTCTGACTCCAGGGGAAGCAGAAACTGGCAGATTCCAGGTAAATTGTCAGACCATTCAATGTTTTGAGAATTGAATTACCGTCCATGGAGGAGCACCATTGAACTGTATTTGGTACTCTGAATTTATGTTTGAGGAATCTTGATTCATTAAACTGGAAGTGTTGCTTGTCAAAATTAGTTGTATTTCAGTCACTAAATCCATATGGAACTCATTATGCATAATTAAATACAACACATTTTATTTACCGTTACTATGTTGTTTTGCATAAGCTAATTAAGCAAATGATCAATGCACATTCTTTATTTGCTACTTGTCTAAATTACTTTATATAGCCATTGTAATTTCAGTGACTCAAAAGGAAATGCAACAATTACAGATTAGTTATATATTAACTCACCTTTAAAGAATAGTTTAGTTAAATACTTGTAGCTTTAATGGGAGAGATAGCTTCTTTCCAATGTATTGGTTTTACTAAAGGCTTCTTTCTTTAGCCCAGGATGATAACGAATCAGCATTCTACAGATCTTAGTCTAGATTAAGGTTAGTCACTTGGTGATCATTTAGATTTACATTTAAACTATTCACACACTGGCTTCATTGTGACATTTTTTTAAACCCCATAAATCAGCCCATAAGAAAAGTAGATACAAAATAAAATATTTTGTGAAGGCTATGATGCCAAAGTTATAATAAGAGAAAAGTTGTCTGAAGAAGGTTGCCAGATAATCAACATTCTTGTCTACAGAGATCCTCCAAGACATGTTCAAAGTTACCATCTAAAGTTCTCTGTGTAGAAGAAATGTAGAGAGGGAGGGAATAAGAACTATATAAATCACTAAAACCATATTGACTTAGATGTTGCATAACTAGCTGAGTTGGCAGCAAGGAAATATGCAGATCAGGTGCAGACTGACTCAAATAACTAGACTATATTCTTAGGGCATTAGGTCCACAAGATCATTGAAGTTGAACAGTACTGTATATTTAAAACCTTCCTAGACCTTCCTGAAAAACTCAGAACGTGAAGCCTCTGCTGCTTATTATTCCGATGTTAGTACGGAGTATTGTTAACACTGCATTAAATCATCAAAGTTCTTTGAAGGATTGGAAGAGACCAGGAAAGTACAGCAGTTTGGAAGAAAAGCTAGCCAATTAGATTATTTGTTAATTCCATATTAAAAACTAAAGCAACAATTAATCTCTACCTATTGAGTCTACTTACACTTTATCAAGTGTAAGGTCATGTTCATTCCCTGCCACAGTAAACAGTTTATGTTTACTGTATACAACAGCTTTAAAATACAATTCAGGAAGAGATACAAAGCCAATAAACCAGTCATGGACAGCTGTTTCGTATAAACTCCAAAGAATCCATGTTTAAAAAATGGAATGAAGCAAAAACGAGATTCTTTGTTAAACTGATTTGCATATGCCCACCCAGGATCCTTTGCAGTACTAACCACTGCAAATTTGAGATTTATGTGGGAAAAGCAAGTCTTATGGCTTGACTCGTGTGCAGATCTGTGTTTAACAAAGTATTGACTATCTACTGACTTCAGGTGGAAGAGGTTTTCAATCACAATTTTTTTCCCCACCATAACTTTCTTGGTTTCTGATTGTAGAGTTAGTTTTATTCTGTGTGCAGCATTTTCTAGTTTTTACCAACCAGTTTGTATTTTTTGGCACAAAAAAACGCTTTCCCAGTCCCTAGGCTGAACCTTAAACTAGAATTGATCCAACTCACCCCTAGCTCTCTCAGCCTATGATTGCCATCTACAATTGTACAGCTAATGTGGACATTCTCTTCATTAGGCAAGCTGCTGCAGAGAACAACCCTGCAGTTCCATGGCTGAGACAGGCATTACAAGCTGTTCCTGCACAGGCTTTCAGTTGTAGTCAGTACATGCCATGATCTAGAAATGTACCACTTGTAAGGATGGACCCTGCCTGGCTGGGGATGATTAAAGTCAGGGCCAGATTAAGAGCCCATTGGGCCTGGTGCTGACAATTATAATGGGTCTAATTACATAATTATATCAACAGAAAACACTAAACCATTTATACATCAATTGTCATGTATCTGGTGGAGGTGCTGCTTTTTGCCCCCAATAAAGCTGCCATTTCTGTTATCCCAGAGTGCCTGAACCGTTATTTATTCATGGAAGGGAGGCCTGGCCAGCTCTGGCTTGAGAGTACCTGGATTATTTGGGGAGTGCGGTATCCAGTACGTCTCTAGCACACTGAGCTTGGCATAAATGCGTCTAATGATGCGCTAGCTCTATGCTTTCTAAGGACTGTCCCCTAGCACTCGCTGGTCCATTCCTCTCCTAACCTTCTTACTAGCAGGCAGTAGCTCCTGTTATAAAGTCTGGGAGAGAGAAAAAGTGTATGTAGTGAGTGTAGAAGAAAGGGAACATGACACAGAGTTAGAGATATTGAAGCAGCAAGAGCATTTGCATAGAGCGCAAAGTCAGCTTTACCTTTGCTAATCTTATTATCAGTCACTCAAAAGCAGTTTTGTTCCCCTTAAGCTTCCATACTTAAACAAGAGAATGTGAAGAGTAGTATAAAATTATTTTTTTTTTTTTTTAGCAATAGGCCTATTCCATGGGCCTAGAGGTGCAGCTCCATCAGCCCCATCTTAATCTGGTCCTGATTATAGTTGCCGCTAGGGACAGCTATCTCTATGACCAGCTGCCTTGGGAACCCATATCTGTTGGGCCCCACTATTAAGCCTTCATAAACCACTTCAAACTGTTGCTGTACAATGTAAGTCACCAGTAACAAAGCAGTTCCAACTATCCCTATACTTCAGCAGAAGTGAAGGGAGTTAACGGGGCAGCACAGCCATTCATAATTATCATGGTGACAGAAGAGCAATGGTGTCATTCCTTGGTTAGAAGTCCATTTTCAAACGCAGGTGCCTCCAGTCCAGCTTCCACTTCTATTTCTGCAGTAGCAGATAATTCTCCCATATTTTGAGGACATTAAAGGGACACTCCAGGCACCCAGACCACTTCTGCCCATTGGAGTGGTCTGGGTGCCAACTCCCACTACTCTTAACCCTGCAAGTGTAATTATTGCAGTTTTTTTTTTTTTATAAACTGCAATAATTACCTTGCAGGGTTAACTCCACCTCTAGTGGCTGTCTACTAGACAGCCACTAGAGGGCACATCTGTGTCCCTAGCACAGGAAACCTGTGCTAGAGCGTCACTGGACGTCTTCACGCTATGTGAGGACCTCCAGCGTTGCTCATTTCCCCATAGGAAAGCATTGAATGCTTTCAATGCTTTCCCATGGGGAGCTCTAATGCGCATGTGCGGCATTGCCACGCATGTGCATTAGGTCACCCCGGTGGGCGGGATCAATCTTGCCCACCGCCCGACACAATCACTGGGAGGAGCGACGGCGGAGGAAGCAGCAGCGACATGGGACCCCTCCCACCCCTTCAGCAACCGGGGATTGGGGGGTGGGAGGGAGAGAGGACCTGCAGTGCCATTTCCCTTTAATGGGCAGATGGCATAACCAAACACTCTGCCAATAAATTTTATCCAAACAGTTGAAGCAAATGAGGAACGATATAATTAATACTGAGGAAAAGACTGGAGACCCAAAGAAGTGTCGAACTGTACAACACTTGTTTCACTACTTACCCTCCTGCCACCATAACCACTACAGCACACTGTAATAGACATGTAGAGGGGTAGGGCTAACTGGTAGATAGATTAAGTGATCGATTTTGGTTCAATTAAGAACAAAGTTTTGGATTTCTTTAAATCTACATTGACGCCTTGAGACAAGTGCTTAACCAGATTATACAATGATGGTTTTGCATTTTGTTATTAAAGGGTTAGTGTATTCAAAACTATTTTATTGATATTTATTTGATATTTACATATAGTATTCAGGTTTTCAATTCAGTGTGGAGTGTTTACCATTAATGGGTTAATTTGTCTCTGTAGTCAACACCTGTCAATGTCATGTGCAGAACATTTGTTTTCGGTTATCGGACCTACTGCATGCAACCTATATTTAATTCCTTATCAGTGGGTGTTTTTTCAATGTTACTTTCTGGTGACAGCAGTTCCATCTGGTTTCCTTGTCATAAAAAGGGTAACCGTCAATGCTCAGGATATTCAATATTACATTTACTTATGACTATATTTAAACAAATATGTATTTGTGAGATAAGAAAAATAAAAATAAATTTAGATATCTACATCTCTATCTTGCAATTGAGTGCCTCCATCTTAGGTGCCTGTCGGTCATTGTAAGCTCTGTCCTTTGTGTCTGGCATTCAGCATATAAAGGGGAAGAAAAAACCTCAAGCAGAAATAAATAAATAAATGGATTGGTGTGTTATGAAGACTTCACCAGCCTATCCTCCCTAATACACAAGTATGTACCATCTACACTCCTACACTCTGCCAGAGACCTGCGTCTATCCTCTGTATGTACCCCCACCTTTATGCTCACCTTCAAAACCTCTCTACGGCTGTACAGTTCCTGTGGAGCTCCTTTCTCCGATAGGCTCACACCCAGCCACACCATTTTATAAATAACTAGTTTCTTCAGGAAGGCATATCAATTAAACTGTTAGCTCTCCCTCTCTCCCCTCACCCACCAAAACAAATCACTAAGCCCTACGTGAATGCTATTCTAGCAACCTACCCTTTGTGTCACTATACCCCACTCCATTTTGAGTGTAAGCTTACCTGAGCAGAAGCCTTAAACCACTGTTCCTACTTATCTGGTATGCATCCCATATGCAACTTGTCTCCTGCATTAGCTACAAAAACATAGCCCAAATTATGTTATTAATGGAATCAGATAGTTAAACCAGGATATATTTTATTTCAATATTTTTATATTTGTTCTGTGTATAGGTCTGAATGATTGACATGCAAGGGTTACACTTATTTCAAGTATTAAAAAAAAAAAAAAAGAAATTTAAAGAACCTCATGTGTATTGCATAGAAAATAGACCATTTAGCACACACTCTAAGAAACAGACTCGACACAATTATGGTAAATCATTTCATTTTCAAATTCAAAAAATTCATATTCAATATCTTTATAAATAGATCATCACTACAAACATTCCAGTGTATACATTCTATATCTGCAGTCTTGTTAAAGTGCTGGAGGCCAGCAGGTCATCTGTCCCTAGAAGGCATGCTGCCACTCATGTTTAGGAATGAATTTGGGGAGGGGGGGGAAACAAACTTCAATCAACACAAACATTAAAATAGGCACTGTGATTGGTGGAAGATCAAATCAGAGAAAGTGCTTTAATGTCAGTCTTTCTAAAAGGTTTCCATGACATTTGTCAAAACATTTCTCAGATGTTTATTCAAGTGATTATATTAAAATATATCCAAATGATTTACTCCTCTAAACATGCAATCGCTGTAGAGAAATATACATCTAATGATACATTTATCTCTGACTTCCTCATGTCAAAGCACTTGTCCACCCCTATAAAAAAAAACCCCACAGATTTGTTCTCTGGATAATGTGGTCATCCGAGGTCCAAACCTCTGGTCAATAAACGCGTCCAACCACCAACAATTCTACATTTTTAAACCATTTACTTACAATTGTGTTGAGCAAGGAAGCACTGTAGCCTTAGTGCTCTTACCATGATTGACTGGGTTACCAGATAGGCCACAAGAGTCACTGACTGCATAGCAAGCATTCTAAATTTACTAAAGATTACATTAGGCAAAATATGGGACAATGTTTAGTGATATGAATAAACCTGACCTATTATTCTGTGTTGGAGAACGCATATGAACCTTATATTTCACAGTCAAATCTCAGCATCACTTCCTACACGAATTCTCCCTCAAGATTTGTCTTGGAGTTGTCCAATTACAAAAAAAACCCAAAACACTGTTTCAAGGCACTACATGTGAGATAAAACAGATACACATTGTGTTTTAAGATATAATGTAAAATGAATTGGTTAAACAGTAAACCAGTGTATTATAATATTCAAAACACCCTGCAAGATATATCTTGGAAGCAGGTTATATTTGTCAAACATATGCCACCAGAATTTCCCATGTCAATAGGAACTGCATCCTTGATAATTGCACATTAGGGAAATTATAATAGACCACATCCTGCACCAGACATACAGACTAATGCATGGCGGAATCTGGCAAACACATACATAAAGACAAATCAACAGAGAACCAAATACCACTTTAAAGATTCAAAAACACTTTCCTTAATGTCAAAACAAAGTCGCACAGCAATAAATGCGCTCTACAATGTTGACAAGATTGTCCTTCAAACCATATGACTTTCTGTTACACAAATTCTGCAACCCTGGCAGTTCAGTGGTACTCTGTGGTCAAGTTGTGTAAACCTCTCAAGTCAGCCTTGATTAGTCAAAGCAGTTTGTTTCCCCAGTGCATATGTATCTTTCTACTCCACTGCTTAAGGCTTTATAAAAACCCAGTACTTGTATAATCACAATGAGGTCTCATTTTCACCAGAAAGCTGGTGGCACATTTGTAGAAAAGTTAGATGCCTGGTATGGCAGAAATTAGATTAACTATCAATTATGTGTAATAGACTTCTGTAATCTGACCTGGTATATATCCAAAGATAATTTATTATTATGTATGTGAAATCTATGGTAAGATTGTCTTTGCAACACAAGTACGGTCTTCATTGACAGAAAGGAATTTGTTCATTTAAAAATGCAGATTAAAAAAAAAAAAAAAAAAAAGATAGAAATCTACAATTCTTCATTTAAAGAAAGTGGCAAGTGGAAAAGTAGGAAGAAATTCTGATCTATTTACAGTGTTTACAGACCAACTTATATACAAGTAGCAAATGTAGACTATTATTTTTAAATACACGTGCGATTGATCTAAAGGAAAGTAGTACCGAGTGTGAGGTCTCTGAGAAGGTGGAAGCTTAACGTACCGAGTTAAATATGTCAGCAAGGCATTCCAGGATTAACTGTAGTTTACTCAGGGGGCTTTACAGCCACCAACGTGCATGTAAGATAGTTTGGCATCCCAAACTAAAGAATTTTGCAGATAATTTTATCTTTTGTGAAAGGCCGTGAACCTGAATACATCCTGTAAAGACTTATTGCACACTGACCAAGTAATTACCACCCTAATTAAAGTGAAACAAATATTGCTGTGACAGCATCTTCAGTCAGCAGCTTGGATTTAAATTAATTCTAAAAGAGTTGATGGACAATTATTGGATGTCCATAAAAAGCACACAGTCTAAAGGCACTAGAAGAGGAAGACTATAGTGGTGGGAAATTTCACCACATGCAGGTTTAAGTAAATAGTTTACTTACCAACAGTACCCACAAAAAGGCACAAGGCTCTTACTGACTAACAAAATAATGCCTGCGTGGCTATTTTGTAAGGTTAGTAAATTTAACCTGAATAGCAATGGAAAAGTTAAATATTCCTTTAGATAAATTAACACGTAAATCTTTCTATTAAAGCAATAAGGAGATAAGATTCACTCATCCTAGATAACATAATCTGGGTAGATTATACTTCAGCTCTTCCCCAAAAACCAAGTGGTAAGCTGTGCGACCCCATTATGTTATCACACTGAAAGTGAGCAGTGCAGTCAGTTCTTGCCAGTTAGTGAGCCTGGATTTTAAACTTTGCCAGCCTTCTTGTTTAGAGGTACTCCATTCCGCAAGATGTTGGGCGTCTCCTCCATGACCCGAACCAGCAGATTGTCGATGTAATCCTCCAACTCCCGCACTTGTGCTTCTTTCTTTGTAAGGGTTTCTTTTTGTTTTAAAACTAGCTGTATAAGCTCATCATGTGTGAGCTGTGCATAGGCAGAGGCTGGATCAGAGGGGTCGTATTTCTGCAGAGAGGACAAACATTAATTTAAGAACTAGGAGAAACATCTTATTTTGACAAGTTAACTTTATTTGTTGAGTGATCAACTAGAAACCAAATGTAAAATATAATCTTAAGGATTAGTATCAAGTCAGTTAAAATGACTGTTTTACATTACATGAAAAAATTCGTGTTAACACTATGCTTTCAGTAAGAATATTGCCTGCATCAGTTTTGGCTAGAAAGCCTTTTAGAAAAGAGAACAACTGGATTTGTATACACTATCTGTTCTCATGGGAGTGTCTGTAGCTTCATTGATTTGATGTTTTGTTTTTTTTGTAAAGGGAACTTTATGGACAGCTTTGATTTCCCCAAATGTGAGTTATAGTGGCTCTGTCTCTTCTCAATATCTCACAAAGGTATAGTACTGACTGTGCTGGAATTTCATTGGAGTTCCAACACAATCCAAATTTGATACAAGATAAGGTAGGGACTTACGGACAAACCTGAGGAGCTTCACTGTCAAGGTTTGTCAAATCCCAGTAGTGGTCAGTCAAATAGCTGTATTGTCTAGCTCATTGTAAGGCATGATCTATGGAAGATCCCACCATCTTGCAGGATCCTCCATAGGCCGCACAGAGTGCCAGGAGCTGAAGAATGTCCCCAAGAAGATGGCAGCAGCAGCGAGGGACAGCTTTAGGTAAGTAAAGTAACTACCTCCTATTGCACAATGTTGTCACTTCATCCCCGAGGAGAGAGGTCACCTTTGGGGTTTTTGCAAAACTTGCTTTAATAAGTTAATGCAACACAATGTTGCTTCATGAAAGGGTGTACTGCCATAATGGCAATGTAGAATTTCGTGTAAAGCACGGAGTTTTATTTATAAAGATTACATTACCTTGACAGTGTTCAATGCATTCTCGTAACCTTTGATGGGCTGTGAGAAGGTGGAAGAGGGCTTGTTCTGAGAAGCGTTCATTGGCTTCACTGGATTAGTTCTGCAAAGTAAAAAACATTTTGGGTTTTGATAAATCCTCCACTTCGAAGACAACCTTTAGATGCCATGGATACCAATACATTATTCCTGGTATTTCTAACTTCTGTGCTCTACACCAGATGTATTTTTTGAGGACTCCCATCAATAATGTACCTATTAGACAACCATTTTGTTAAAGGCCAGCAAATTCAGTAACATTCTACTACAATAAAAGAATATGGTCTATACAGTGATTTTATTATGTGGCACTCCAGCTGTTTGGAGTTATATTGTTGATCCTCTGCCAGTCACATGAACTGTTGCATTTAAGGGAGATTTAAAGTGGCGCTGTTTTTTGTTTTTGCAATTAAAAACTAGTAATCGTTTTTGTCCCTCCAGTTCCCCTTTATCTTTAGTGTACAACAATAAGGCCAAGGTAAGGACTAACCAGTGGCGGAACTACGGTGGTCGCAGCTGCTACCGGGCCCGCCAATCCAGGGGGCCTGGCTGCCCTGCGGACACCTGCGACAGTGGCATCCGCCGCCGTGTGTTGCGGTAGAACACGTGCGGTGGCCCATGCTCTTAGGTGTGTGTGTGTCTGCATGTATATCTGGGCAACGTATGGGGGGAGGGGGCACAGCAGTTTTTACACCAGGCCCGTGGTTTCTAGTTACGCCTCGGGGTCTAACATTATGTAAATAAAGTTTACATAAACTTTGGCATTGGAGGTACCTTTTCAGAGACCAACCTAATTTACCCACCAATCATTCTAAATAATTCTACAGAAATGCAAACTACAGAGATCATGGACAGAGGAGAAAAAAGTGGCCTTGACCAGATATTGGGATGTGGTGCAAGGAAGAAAACATAATATATATTAATAAAGGCAAGAGATGATCCACCAGAATAATCTTCAATCTGTAAATAAGAAAATTATCCAAATTTCAAAAGTTACAAAGCAGATAAGAGGGGAAAAAA